TTAACATTTTGTCATACTGGCACCTTGACAACCTGGCGCTCTGACAGCCTGGTAAAGGACTAACTGCAAATATCGAAGCGATTCTCATGCGGAATTATGGAGATTTCGGCCGGAATTGCAACAAGTATCACGTGGTGTGGTGGAGATTACTAAATAATACAAAATCATGTGATATCGCCTTATTGTGAACGATTGTTACACATAAAAAATTATAATTTTTTTTTTTTTTGTAATTAAGAGCCAATATCTGGATATGAGGCAAGTAGATCTTAGACTTATTTATCTTCTAACATTCTAACATACATTTCGACTTATAGCTTTTAAAATACTCGTATCGTGGGTTCTTGAACAATCACCGCGATATCATCGTCGTTCATTATTTTCGAATGACTGGAAGGTCATTTTTTGTCATAGATAATTAAAATTTTTTATAATTTAAGAACCATACGAGTTAAGCTTTCTCTCGTAGGGGAAGAATAAGACGACCATTGTTTTTAGTGCGCTTATTCTTCTCCTATCTATATTTTATATAACGAGATTAGACTTATTTTGTTTTCGAATTAACCAACGAGAATTAGTTTTATTTTTCAATTTACAAACAATTTTATTTATGCATATTTATACTTTAGAATTTATCAACAACGAGAATCAATTTTTTTTATTCGAATTTAACCAACGTTAATGCTTTATTTTTTAATTTTAATAATGACTACAAATGAGAAATATCTTCACCCATATACCCATTAGATCAGATGCAATATGACGTTCTATCGACATACGATGAACACTAGTTCGTTAAATGAGACCACCAAAGATCTTTATATCTGGAGAGGAATACGACTACTTACAAAAAACTGGAGGTTTCATCAAATTGATCGATACACATTTTCAGAATTTGTTAGGCAAGCACAAGATAGACCACGGAATTTGAATCACAACCACAATTATTTGGAATTGTAACATCCGGAAGTTCTTCAATAAACGATGTCCAATTTCTGACTGGATATGGAGTATGTGCAATCAATATAACGAACCAATGTTTCACATAATGACGTAAATGATATATCTAACGAGGAAGATGTAAGGTAGGCTTTGTCTGTAGATCTGTTTGATAATCTAAATTCAAATATAGTGCTACGAGATCAAGAGAAAGATTTAAACGGATTTCAAAGGAGGATCAAATTAAGGGGGAGTCGGACTTCATCCACAAATGTGAGAAGTTATTGCTAGTAGTAGATGTGAAGATCACACTTGCTTTGAAGTTAGAAGTTGATGAGCCTCTTCATGAAAAATATGATGATGATCTCGAGAGGATCAAACTCTTGTGAGGAAATTTCCATTATGGGTATTTGGTTGTCAATAATTTGCAGTATGGGAACCTACAACCAAAGCTTGCTCATTAAGAGGTCCAAAGATGCAACTCGTGCTCTTGAAATTTCTAGTAGATAGATATAAAATCAGAGGATCATTCAAATGCTATGCTCACATACAAAAATCTGTCGAGAACAGATATTGGATGTTCTAATCTAGATACTACACTGCCATCATCCGGTTATTATTCAAATGATAATTAGGATAATTCCGTCTATGAATAGGCTTTAAAAGCCCAAAACCAATATGCAACACAATGAAAGCAAACTAATGGAAATTTTACCGTATAAGAGTGTTGCCATTGGTGCAGAGAATGTGAAATATGAAAATTTTGGTAATAGGACGAGTTGAATATAATGACACAGTCGACAATATCATGTGAGGGATATTACTTAAATTTTAAAGAATTTGAAAATAATTTATTATTAAAAGTCATTGTGATAAATCATGTGATTAGCGTATAATGGTCCGTCTAGATAGTATTTATTTTGTATATACTTATATTGTATATATAAATATCCTTGAGTTAAAAGATAACTTGAGATATGTTTTGAGATAAAACCAAGTTTCAATAAATTAAATTTGCTATTTCTTTTTCTGTGCTGTATCTTCACATAGACGTGATTATGTTAAAAGTATTGACGAACTAAATTAAATTTCGTTGTTTTCTTTTATAGTTACCAAGACAACAGTGGATCGTGTGCTTGCTAGACTTGAGGTATTATTTTAATTCTATATATATACTGTATGTATTTATTTATTTATTTATTTATATAATTTTACTGATTTAATATGTAGCTCAAACAATTAAAGGATTCAGAGAATTTTGTAATTGAAATTTTTCATCAGGTACATTATGAATGTTTACCCTCTTTGAAGCAAATTGAAATTATTAACCCTTCCTTTCTCTACTTCCAGCTTATATTCAAGAAAAGTACAAAACTTTGCGAATTTCTTTATTCAATACGCAAACGGAGGTAGGAAATTTACGTCAATATCTTCGAAATAATTCATTGAAATTGATCGGATCAAAAAGAATCCGTTTTATTAGATGTGGCTTAAGGGTCGAAGGATATACTTGATCATGGATGTACTCATCTTGGAATTAATGATCGGAACAATTTATTAAATCTTTTTAAAGAAAAAAGAGTAAGTTCGCAAAAAAA